TAGATATCCATGTCCTATGGAAAAATATGCAAGAATTTGCGTGAAATTGCTACCAATATTTCAATTTTTCTCCCGTTAAATCGCTCAATTTAACAGTTGAGAATGTTTTGTTCAGCTCGTTCGAATTCGGAGTTACCAACTTCTGCGCGCCTCCTTGTTGTGGTAATCAATGGAAGAAAGGTGGTATAGAATTTTCTGACGTTTCGCAAGCCTCTTAGGGCAAAAAACTCATCAGTTTCAAAGCAATATCCTCTTGACTCACCTGTAAATACCAGCTTGATGTCGTCCTTAGAAAAGCTCCGTTTCCTCGATAGGCTAAGCTCGTTTTCCTCGGTATTTATGCCCACTGTGCTCTTGGTTTTGGGCTCTTTGCCCTTGGGCAGGCGGTTTAACGTGGAAGCACCTACATAAATAAAGCAAAACACCACAATCATCCACTAATCCCCACATGAAAACCCGTTCTAGTACCGGAAAACGTCGCTGGCTTATCCGGAAGCTGATCGATATCCAAGCTGCTCCTGCTGCTGTAGCTGGAGGTGGGCGGAACTGGAGCAGCCGGTTTCTTTTTGCGCGAGCTGGGCTTTGGGCTCTCCAGCAAACTTTCCGAACTCGTTGCGTCCACATGCTCTATATTGAGTTTGCCTGTGCCCAAAAAAAACCATTAACGGATCGTTGGAAACTTTGCCTTTGCAGGATTTACCGCTGTTGCCGTTTCTGGAAGTCAGTTCCTCCTCGGGTAGTAGTGAACCGATGGTGACCAACCCGCTGACATCGTCAGGGAAAAAAGTATCCATTTCCTTTACTAACAGTTCCACTAACATGTTGATGGTCACACAGTTGCCCATATTCACGTTCATTTCTTCGTCCTTGTTCCACAATAAATTGGGGGCGATTACAATCGCAATGTTCGACGATGACATTTTGTTCTCGGTGTGGTGGGTGAGCCGCGCTAGGAACTGAATTAAATACGCCAAATTTTCCCGGTTTTCCTGCGGCAATCTGCAACAGTTCGCATTAAACTCAGAAACCTTGGAAACTGGTTGAAAACTCACTTGCTCAGTAAATGCCTAACAACCTCAATCCTTTGATTTTCGGGATATTGCATGGACTTCATCCACTCTTTATGCAAATGATAGGTCAGTAACGGTTCCGGTAGATCTCGCAGGTAGGACTTCAAAGTGCTGGCAAGCACATGGACATCCCTAAAAACACTTCAATAAACCCCCCGTTTGCAACCAAAAAAACCAGGGATTTCAAACCTGTACTCTGGAATCAGTACGGAAAAACAGCCGCTGTCTATGGAGGCCTTCAGTCTCTTCACTTTGGACGCCGAGCCAGCTATTCGAAACAAGCCTTCTTCGCTCAGCCCGAACTCTGTTAGGGTCGTGATGCAGATTTCCAGCGGATATGCCAGACGCTTCCCCGTTACCCGCAGATGCTCCTGCAAGGACACGCCGAAGACTTTCTTCACCTGGCTGTTGCCGATGGTCTTTTCCAGCTGCGGAATTATGTTTTCCAGATTCTTTAAGGCGCTTTCATGGTAGCCCCGCTGGAGTTTCAGCAGTTGCAGGATGTACGAGGAAAACTCGTTTTCCCTGGCTAGCAGGCTGAACATTTCAAAGGCTAAGGTGTCCCTGTTTTGTTCCACTTTGTTGTCTGCTTCCTCCATGTCATCCCGCAGGGTTTCCTTTTTGGTTGACTGCAACAGGAAGCGTTAGTTGAAAGTTGCCAGCAAAATACTACGGTCGAACTTACATGGTATCTGCTGCTGGCCGAGTCCTTGTCCAAGCAGTACTTCTTCAGGTTGTGCTTCTGCTTCAATATGCTGGGCAGCTCGTTCTCGATCACCTTCTGCAGTGGCGAGAAAACCATCTCTTCCACTTTTGCCTCATGTTCCGCATACTCCTTGGCCAGGTCTTGCTCTGTGCCACCTTAGGAAATCAGCCACACATAAACCGCATTCAATCTCCCGCATTTCCCAGCGCACTTACCCGATATTTTCAGAATGTGCTGCAATAGTATGCACTCCTTTTCGTCTCTCGACTCCTCGACGAACGTCGTTCCTAGCTGGTATTCCAGGCATTTTCTCTGCAAAGGCGCACAAAGTGTTACATTCAAACGGAACACCATTTGATTGGGGTTTTACCAGTCGTTTTTCCTTATCCGCGATTGGACCGTTTGGGCAAAGCTTTTTGTTGATGGACACCAAAGCTGAACGCAACACATCCACTCGACTGTCCGCTATCTGAAGCTCTTCCTGGTTCAGTACCTCACTCTTTTCAGCCCTGAAAACAACAATAAACTCTTAACACTTAACGCAGAGCGTGTGAATCTTCCAAGGAATATTTGTCACTATTCAGAATCTTCAGTGTATGGCATATCTGATTGTGGTGATCCCCAAGCAAGATTAGGGGGATTTATTGCTCTTAGTCACTGAGCGGGAATAGCAATATAGAGGGGCAAATCGGTTCAAATGAAAAATCCTTATTGCTAAACTACGTGTATCTACAGCCGATAAACATCTTTAAACTAATCGACGGGCTTATCTTGAAAAAGTCCATATCCTAGACGCACAATGGAATCGAAAACATTCCAAACAACGAAAAAAGGTTTCCTTCGTACTTACTTTAAGAAAGTTTGGTCCGCGAGCTGCTTGACTCTAAAGAACTGCTTTTTCATCATCTTTCTAGCATGTTATCTTGGCGCTGGCTCCAGAAAAATTGCAAATTGCAGCTTATTTATTTAAAGTATGAGATCACTTATGTGTTGCCGATAACATTGAGGGGGGAATTATTCTATTACAACACTCGTTCGAGTCCGAGGGGGGTTCGGCTGTACTGGGGAAACGTGGCAAAAGCCAACGGGCGAAAAACCACACAAAAACACACGGGGCTCAACTGGGAAAATCACACAGAAGAGTCAGCTTTCTAGAAATAGCTGCAACAATCAATCGGGCCCCTGGTTGGCTGTTGGCGCAGCACTGAAAACTCGGATTATTTTTTTCAATATCTCAATAGATAGTCGATATCTTTATCTATAAATGCAGCAATTGCACTAGAGGAATTAGGCGGTTTTCACTGTTTTTTTCTTCGAAACCGTATCGAACCGCACCAAAAATGGACCATCAACTGACATTTCCCGAAACGCTGACATGCCTTGTCACTCTTGACGGCTAGTAAGGGAATTTTAAAACACAAGAAGCAATCTGTTTGAGTTTGAGCGCATTCGCCTTATTATCCCCTTTAGGTTAAGGCGACTTTCAAGTTAACTTTTAAGGCAAATTTAAGTATTACGCCACAAGCACGCTTATTCAAAGTTACGATGTCCCTTAGGTCTGATTATCTGAAGCGAATAAAACAACCATTCTGAATAATATGTTCAATTCTCGTATGCATGGCGAATGCGCAAACTATTGAAAAAGTCGCTCTACATATGGCCGAGGATGCACAAAGAGCCTGGAAGAATCATACATATTCTTCACAGTTATCCACAGCGTCGGCGTTTGGGGATCGTAAATAGTGCAAGGACTAACATTGTTCTTCCGGATCCGCTCGCACTTTTTCTGGATCATTTCGATCCTTTCAAAGCACTTTTTCTTCTCCAGATGCGCCCTCTTCAACACGTACTTGTTCTCGGCCAATTTCCTCCAGCTGCCATTAGGCATGGCGGAAATGTTGAGGTTCCGTTTGGAGGACTTGTCTTTGATCACATACCGATAGGGAATGTGCGTTTGATGGCTGAAGCTTCGCCTGCCTGGCCCCAGCCAATTGGACCTTAAGACCGTCTGTAGCATGGACATGGATGAAGATGGATGAAATTGCACTGGATGCACAGGAATTTTGCGACTTTCAGTGACAAACCGGTGGTTTTAAGCAACCAGCAGGTTCAGTGACTGTTGCCGGACAATATGGCGAAGGCCGGTTTTTTCAAACGTTTACCCACTAAATCACATTTAATTCGCTTTATTTAGCCTGGTATCATATTGTATCATCTCTGAAATGGTCCCAGTCGCATGTCTCTATATATTATGCAAGCTAGAGACGAAATATGGAGCAACCGGCTCGGTGGGCGACTCTGCCAGACACGGGGCCCTGACGCAAATGTTTTATGGGACCTTAACTAAATGCCGTTTCATTATCAATGCTGTCTTTTTGGGTAGAAAGTTTCGTTTTGAGGCAAACCTCGGGTTGGAAGCCAGATTGGATGGTTTGAGAGGCGAACACCTGCTGGTTACGAATGTGGAAGGCGCGCATTTGATCCCACCAGATGAACGAATGGAAATGAATATAATTCAAAATTAATTCCTGGGTTTCAGTCATTTATTGTCTTTATTTATCAATTAAAATACGTTTCGGTGTAT